CTCTTCGGATCTGAGACACTTTTGGATGAATCCAATCTGTACTTTCCATATCTCTTAGTTACCATCTACCTTGATAAAATATCGTCGCCACTATACTACCCCCCTAACCAAGTCCCCATACATCCCCCTTTCAATGGTCAGGCCGTCCAGGATTCCTCAGGAATCCTCAGGAGAGATGAGGTCAGGCTTCCGCATCTGGCCGACGTCCAGGAAGGGGCAGTCGGGAATCAGGGCTTCCTGCAAAAACTCGACTTTCTTTGAAGAGAGGATCTGCACATCGGTATCCTTAAGTGCTCCTCCTTGTGCTGCTGGGACAGGACAGACTTGATGAGCCCGGCACTGGCTACGGAGGAAACCTTCTGGGTTGTCCAACTGGCCGCCCATCATTGGAAAAACAGCCTCAATGGCATTTTGTGCGCCCTCGCGGGTGAGAATGTACATGCCCAAATTGTAGCCAGTTCCAATCACGATATGCATGGGATGTAAGAATGAGCTGCTCAGACATTCTCCGCCCTGAAGCTGAAGGAAGTCCCAATCCTGCCCTGGCGCAGGAAGGGAATCTCCCAGCTTCTGTAGCAATGAACCCAAGTCTGGATGGACGTACATGAGGTCATCCTCCATGAAGATTCCCCATGGGGCCTGGGTCTGCAGCAGGTGCTCCCACATGATTGCGTGACCCATAGTCAAGGCCACGCCACCTTTGGTCAATGGCCCACCAAGCGTATTGATCTGATTCTGGTCGCGGAAGATGGCAGACTGCCAAAATGGGCGCTGAATCAGAGACTCCTTTAAGTGATCACCGAAGGAGTTGCCGTCAGGCGCAGCCACACGGCAGGTCATCTTCTGGAGCCATGGCGCTTGTTTATACAACATCTGAGAGAAGTTTCCCAAGCGGTCCGTCCGGCGGTCCAGATTCAGCACAAATGCCGGGATGCTGCTGAGGTCAACGTCCACCACAGACCTTGCAGCATCGAGCTTCAGCTTAGCCTTTTCGGCCTCTTGAAGACTGGCAGGTCTGGGTTCCACAGTCTTCGTCGGGCAAGGATGCTGCAGCATTGCAGTTGGTTCTGGAGCATCGCATGCGCTTTCCTCCGTGACATCTGTACATGTGCCTTGCCGAGAAATGATCCCAAGCGTCACTGTTAAAACGAAAAGGCGCAATGTCATCGCAAGCCAAGGACTCCGAACCGCATGGATCTACTTGTACGGTAATCTTGGGCCACTCAAGGCTACCAGTCATTTTGTGCTGTTCATCTGGAGAAATCCTCGTGACCCTGGCGTAGGAGCCTGCGAAAAGGCACGAGCAAAGGTATCGAAGTACTGGGCCATCAAGACCTGCATGACCTGTCAAGTTTCCTACAATTGTGCGGGACATGGCGAACACCCTCCTGCCAGTTTGCCAACTGCTTCACGTTACGATGTGTCGAGCTGCGCGTGTGTGATGCGCGCTGTGGGACGAGCCCGTGGAGCGATGAGCCAGTGCATGGCAGAACCTCACATAGTTGTGCATGTTGTGCTGGCTTCTGGCGCATGCCAACAAAGCTGCTGCACAGAACGGGCCAAGCTCCCCTAGGGCAAGTCCAACTGCAGAAGTATAGAATGTCAAGCTGCACATGTTTCCTAGAAATGGTATCAGGGACTATCGTAGGAAGCGCCAAGCAGCTCACCAAACCAAAAAGCAGCTTCAGCCTTGGCAAGATGTGTAGAAATGCCCGCATTGCCAAAAAAAAACGGTGCAGCCCAGCTGCTGGAGGGCGCAGCCCTGCTGAGAAGAGCAACGGCCAGGAGCGCTGCGCGCTGTGTGAGCACTCGGAGCCTGCATGAAAAGGAGCCGCTGAGGCGCCTACCTTACCCGGTACTATGCTCAAAGCGGCGTCAGTTCGCTGCCTTTATCTCCTTGGGCAATGTTGTCGCCCTGCACAATCCCCACGCAGTAGGTGTCCAGGCCAAAAACGTTGGCCATGGTCCTGGCCACGTGCTGAAGGGTCAGAGCATTGCATTCTATGAGATAATATACTGTTCTATATATATATACACATAAATCCAAACACTTTTTTGCGTTGCTGCTTCCCAGTCTTGCATGCCAGGAGACACAAGGACCGTGGCGAGCTGCTCCAGCTCGCGGGGAGATGCCACCTGAGCTGCGTGCAAAGCCACAGTGCCTGGCGCAGTTCCTCTGTGCTTCTGTAGCCATACAGCCGAGCCACATAACGACCCTCTGCATTGAGAGCAGCAAATCTTGCGCTGGGTGGCTCAGACTCAAAGATCGCAACGGTGCCCCGCCTAGCTGCCGCACGAGTAAGGGCTCTTGCAGGTTTCAGCAACGGCATTAGCAATTACAAAATGGGCAGAATGTCACCCATCACAGGATACATCCCGTTGCAGAATGTCATGCCCCAGAAAACGAACAACGTGGATCGATGCCATATGCTTAAGCTCACGCCAGAATTTCGATCCCAGTTCAGTTCGGCTCTGTCCAAACCTGATTTGTCAACTGGATTCCACCTGCCCGACGAAGCGCACACTGCACGCACCTCTGCTCCAGGCTGCTGCGTAAGCACGTGTGGAGAGCCACTTACATGCACATCATCTGAGATCTTAGCATGTCAGAACATTAGATGCTGTGAGTGACGAGACACAAGGGCTGCATTACTCGTGATCACTCTTGCTTCCGGAAGTAGTGCAAGGCTCCGCTACCCTAAGGCCCTAAGCGCAAAACGGAAAAATCAGCAAAAGCGTGAGAAAGCAACTGAGCATGACCTCGCCGGCGCGACGGAGCCGCCTTCCAGGAAGTGCTGCGCAGCGCACAGAGCGGGCGGGCAGCGGCGGGGAGACCAAGGCATCCTGAGTTTGAAATTGGCTGGGTTGTCCTTGTTTGCTATTATGGTTCTCTACAGAATACTCGGGGAAATTTTGATTTAAAAAGATCCCAAAGGACAACCCAAATGAAAGGAATACATTACAAAGCTTGAAGACGAAAGACGGTTGCTGTCAATATCTAAGGCCTGAGCCTTTAGATGCTATGCAAGCTTCTTCTCTTCTCTGGAGATCTCTGAACACTTCATTCTGAGAATGGTTGGGATGGGCAGCGGAACTTGAGTCAGAGGTGTTAGCAGCAGACTGTGACTGTACTTTACGAAGGCCTTCACTTGGACGCAGCGTCTGCTTCTCGCAATTTTCCAAAAATCATCTGGGGAACATAGGGGCACTGCAGGAGCAGCGCAGGACGCATCAAAGTACAACAAGCTCCAACGCAAATGTTGAGGGGCAAAAGACTATGCAGCATTGCCACATGTTGTCCCTCATCATCGGAATCGGTACGCCGCGTTGCTCCAGATCCGAGCCGGCGCATCAAAGACAGTGCCTGACAGCCAGCACACCAGCCAAGCACAGAAGTATCCGCCTCCCCTGGCTGCCTAGCTTTGAGCATCACAGAGCATCCTGAAACGGTCATGATGGCCTGCCCCTTGGGCATGCTACATTGCTTTAGGCTGGGGCTCGCCAACTGCACGTCGAAACTCAAACCAACTGGTGGCCAACAGCCAGCCTCTGCAGCAGCAGAGACTGCGTCACCATCGGATGCCTACAGCTACCAGGCTTGTATCGACAATTGGAGCATTCTCCGAGTGCCTTGTGTGCCTGCATGCAGCAGTACCCGCCTCGGGTGCAGCGATAGCCCCGAGTCCCTGCAGGAGCTCCTCTGGAAGCACGTGAATCAGCAAATCGAAAGGCAGGACTGCGCAATGCCCCTTAGCTAAAGGAAAGTGATGGCCTGTCTCGTCACAAAACCCAACGATCGAACCCAAGCAAAGCATAGGCCAAAACATTCCAAAGTAGGGAAATGCCTCCGTGTGCTAACCAGATCGCAAGGCCATGGAAAGCGCTGTACACCCCTGGCATCCACTGGTCCTCCGGCAGACCAAGCCTTCAAGCAGCCATGAATTCAAGTTCAGAATAACGATCTCCCTACTCACTATACTCTTTGGGCATGCCCAAAACCACGCCTCGCTCGATCTACGCTTTCGATTAAGAAACAAGACCAAAACAAGAAGCAGCTGCGGTTCATTCCCACACACTATACGCTTGATTAGCCCCGCACCGCAGCTTCACCCGTGCGACTCTCCCGGATCCCGCTCTGAAAACAACATAAAGCTGAACAGGTTGTGAGCCTATTCCCTGCTGAGCGCGTGAAACAAACAAGGTGAAGTCGAACACAGGCAGCACTTCCAGACCACAATCTTGTGTCAATCAGACAATATACAGTCGGGGGGACCGCTATACCGAATAAGGTACCCTTGACCAAACCTCAGCGATTCGTCTTCCTACAAAGATAATAAACCCTGTGAACCTGTCAGAAGAGCCAGCGAAAGCCCTCACGAAACAGATCTGACCAAACCAGCCCAGCTGCTCGTTGACAGATGCTCCCAGGCGCAGATCCACCTCGCGACCCGCACCGAAGCCGCCACCTGCCCTTACAAGCAAGGAGGATGTGGGGAGTCGGGAGTGTAGGGTGCGAAGTGTGGGCAGGAGGTTCGACGTGCAACAAAGATCAAGAACAAGCGCTCTTGCTCAGCTTTGCGCCGCTTGACAAAACGTGATTGCCGTCCGACAGCATCTTCCCGTGTGTACCCTAAGCGCACGGCCATCTGCATGCGACATGGGGCACGGTATGCCCCTAAGAAGCACGCAAACTTTGCAGCACATGCGAAAACCCCAACCAAGATGCCCATACCCTGGTCCTGGCCTCAGAGACGCGCCGCGCTTGGCATAGTTTTTCCGACGAAGGATGCCTTCTCTTAAGGCAGCAGCATCCACAACCTGCATTCTGGGGGCTTCGGGGTTCTCGGCAGAAGGTCTCCGCCCAAATCAGTCTGCAAGTCACCAAGAAACCAACAACTCACAGCGAGGACAGCTGCATGGGGCCCCCCCACCTCGCGCACACCGAAGGACCCCACGAACAGATTCTTCAACTCCGCAGGGAAAACCTGCAAATATCTGCATCTAGTTTTGCTGCTCTCGAGGTCTCAACGCGTCAAAAACGAGCAGAAGCAAAGGACCTAAAAAAGAACACCAGATCACGCTCGAACAAACCTTCATCGAAAGGGCGGAAGTCTTTTTCCTGGTGCTTAGGCTTGTCAAAGCAGCTCCAGCGGGGCTGTGTGGCAACAAATGACTTTTGTAGTTCTTGGAAGGCTTCGCGAATTCGGCCGCAGAAGGGTCGCCACTTTTGGCCGTTCGGTGTTTTGAGGGAGTGGGGCGGGGGGCGGGGAAAAGAACGTACCTTGTTTGGTTGCATCCGCAGCAGTGGCAAGTTTCCTGTAAGTGCCCCATGGATGCATGGGGATTTGGGGATGGATGCTGCGCTCGATGGCTTTTATTGTTTGAGAAAGCGCGCATTGCTTAACCCTTTTTCTGGACGAACGTGCATGATCAATTTTGTTCGTTTAGCTGCCGCCTGAGCAGTTTTAGACAAATCTGTCGCTGCCCAAAACGGGTTCGAAAATGACATGTTGAGCTTATTATATGAGAAGTATATGGCATTCAAGGCTTTAAGGGTCATGCTTTCAGGAATGCTTTGCAAGAGTATGGTTCTCAACAGATCAACGGGATGTTGAGCAGTGGCATGCTTAAGCCCCATCTTCCATTTCCAAACGCAGCAACAGT